ACTTAAGTTCTTAACTTCAGGTAGAAATTTTGGTTCTAAAATTTCCACTTAATTTTTTTTACATAATGTAAAAAAGTTAATGTTCTCACAGTTCTGAAGGCGAGAAGTCAAAATCAGGGTGTTGGCCGTGGCTCCCCTAAGTCTCCGAGGAAGAATCCTTCCTTGCCTCTTCCCAGCTTCAGTGGCTGCCGGCAATCTTAGTGTTGCTTCGCTTGCAGCTGCATCACTCCCATCACTGCCTCTATCATCACAGGGCCTTCTCCTTGTGTCCACATTTTCCTCCTCTTAGAAGGACACCAGTTGCTGGAATAGGGCCCACCCTAAGCAAGTATGACCTCATCTTAAAATGATCAATGATATCTGCAAAGACCCTATTGCAAAATAAGGTCAGTCTCGGGTACTGGAGGTGAGGACTTGAACATACCTTTTTGGAGGACAATTTAACCCGCCACACATAGGTTCAGTTTTCTTCTGAAAATCTCCATATATCATCTCATTCCTTGAACATATTAATCACAGTTATTTTAAAGTCTTGGTCTGGTCATTCCAATATCTGCATCTTCTCTGTGTTTATGTTGTCTTTCTGGTCTAAGTTTGTCTTTTATGCCTGGATAGTTTTGATAGAGTACCAGATATTGTGTACATACATCGTAGCATGGGGTAACTACAAGACCCATGTGCTGTTATCATCTGTGAGGGGATTGGTGGAAGGAATGCAACCAGATTTCTAAAAACTACCCTGAGAACACGAGAGGCTCAAAATGGCCAATATATACTCAGTGGAAATCATAAAATGGCAATTTGAGAACAGCCAAATCTGTGAGCGAAAGTCAGAAAATTCTGCAGGCGCCAGTTTGAATTTACATTCTGGTGGGGGTGGGAGACCATAACAAATAAATCACTATAAATAGTATGTGAGTTAGGGCTGAGTACAAGGAGAAGCAGCAGCCAATAGTGATGAGAAGAACAAGTGTTGGTGGTGCAGTCGTAGAGTGGCCCCAGAGGCCACCTGAAAGGGCCTAGAGAAAGGGAACTGGGGAATTTGGACAATGTCGAGCAGAGGGAGGGATGTGAGTGCCCTGAGGTGAAGGCTGCAGCCTGCACTGTGTTCAGATAACAGCTAGGAGGCGGCAGGGTGAGTGCGGGAGAGCAAAAGGGTGAAGTTAGAGAGTTGACAGTTGTGGGACCTGGGGTCAGGCATAGGGCCTACAGGCTATGTTAAGGGGATCTTCTGTAAGATAAATAGGGCATCTTTGGTGCATTTTGAGCAGAGTTGATCTGACCTTGCCTTAAGAATATTCCTCTGATGGGTAGGTTGAGACTTGAGTAATAAATCCGTTTAAAGAGCCAGGCACAGGACCTAACCAGTGATCAACCAGGAGAGCCCCAGTCATGCTCCCTGGTGTTAGCGGTTAGCCCTCACTTCTTACCCTGGGTTTTATAGTATTTTACACAAAAACTGAGGGTAAGATGCTGCTATCTTCTGGGAAACAAATATTACAGTATTTTCAAGCCACTAGTCTTAGAATAAACCTTATAACTTTCTTAAGTTAATAGGCCCTTATTTTAAAAGCACTCTCTGAATACTACTCAGCAATACAAAGTAATGAACTATTGATTCATGTAACAATCTGGCTGGATCTCCAGAGAACTAGAAAATACTATATATATGTCATATATATATAAATATGTATAATAGAATTATAGAATATTATGTGAAACTTTTAACCTTGATTATTTCTGGGTGCTGGATTAGAAATTGGTTTACCAATTTAAGTGAGATATTTCTGTAATGTTCATGTTTTCTGTAATAAGATGAAAGATGTTTACAATGAGAAAAAAAATAAGATTGTTTAAATTAAAAAGGCAGGAGGGATATATAGTCCCCAAGCAAGCACAGTCACTGAGTTCTCTCTCAGATAGTGATAAATACCAGAAAGGGAGTGTAGCCCAGTCCTTCAGAAACAGGCTCAGGAGTGAGACGGCCTGTAAGAACCCCTAGATCCTCGGTCTGCTCTTGGCACAAAGGGGACAATACAAGTCCCCATTTCAATAGATTGCTGAGAAAATGGAGTTCACGTGTGAAGTGTTTATAACAGTGCCTGGTCACACACTAAGTGTTCAGTGAAGTGGAAATTACCCTTTGCTTCCTCTGGTTCTTTCCTGGGCAGCCCCTCATCTGAGAGAAGATGACAAGAGGAAGGAATTGTGACTGAAGCCATCCCCACTCCAGGGTAGATAGGCCCAGTGAAGGGGTCTCTGAGGCACAGTGAGTAATTCCACACAAGGAAGCCTGGGCAGACTGCTCTCATCCTACCGCTACCATTCCGCTCCTGCGTTCTTTCCTGGGAGGGAAAGAGGAGAGCTTATTTCCCTTGGGAATCAGTACCCCGACCCCAGGACCCAGCTGCCAACCTCACAGGCTAACACAGACTCCATCCCTCATGGTCGTCCACACCCGCCACCCCCCTTCACAGTCCCTGACTTCTGCCACCCATGATTAACCCAGGCCTTCCAGACGTCTCCATGGGCCCTCTGCCCCAGCCTTGGACAGGCAGAATCAGCCTAAACCACCAGGCACGAGCCAGTGATTGGACGGAGTCAGCCTCATTGACGCTGGGCAATGGGGGAGACGCACACGTTGTGGGTGTGTGGTGGTCGTGGGGCCCCTCACTCCAGAGTGGTTGTTCATAGGACTTGAGGGAACTGTGGAATTTGCTCAGGCTAAATTTGAATGAAGCTGTGTTTGGCATGCTGAAAGCAGAGCAGGGCTCTATATACCTGGTCTCCACCGCGAAGTGGGGCCGGGGACTAAAACGTTAAGATGGATGTGGAATGTTGTGTCCAGAAACCTCCCTTCCCGAGCTGGGCGCCCGAGATGGAAGCGAGGCTGAATCTCGGGTCAAAGTGACTTAGGTCCCCAGGCAAGGATCGGGTTTCCTTCTTAGTGATAGGATTTCAAACAGCTTGTGACGGGAGTGACCCGTTTCTCACTAAGAAAGCAGTTGTCAGTCACTCAGAAGGGGGCGTTCCGACAAGATCGCTTCCGTGTCGCACACTCCAGCCCCACGAATGGCCAGAGGCTTTGCTTTCTTAGACGGAGCTTATTTTTACATTCTCAAATGCAATCCACTCACGCCGGCATCTTCCCTTGTCCAAGGAGGAGAGGGACTTGCACCCCACTCCTCGCGGCGGAAAAGCGAGCTCAGAAGGCGCCTCTGGGCGGCTCTGACGCGGGGGCGCGTCCCCGAGGCTCCCCCTGCGCCCGGCGCCCTGCGCGCTCCCGCCTTCCTCCCTCCCGCCTCCCGCGCGGCTCCCGGGTTACCCGACTGGTTCCCAACGCGGAAGTGGGCAGTGTTTCTCCCTGTAGTGGCCGCTCCTGCCTCCTCTTTGGTCTCATAGCCTACGTTCTAGGCACTCTGACTTTCCGTTGGCCCTCAAAAAGCATCAAGGCCAGTGTCCCCGCGAGTTGTTTGCCCGAGCTGTTCCCTATGCCAGGAAAGATGTTTGCGTGGCTGGCGCCTCTCATCGTTCACTTTAGAGGATTCAGCTCAAATGCCACGTCCTGAGCTGACCACGTTACCCACTGCTGCCCAGGCACCCTAGCCGCTGCAGCACACGTTTTATTTTCTTCACAGCATGCATCCGGCTCGGAATGCTGGGCCTCAAAGGCCTTACAGGATTGGTCCTGGTGGGTGATGAGCTGGGCACAGTGAGCCACCCCCGTGGCTCCCTGCCACACTCGTCCCCCACCTTAGACAGTGGCTGCACTTTCAGCCAGGTGTCCTGGAGTCCCACTCTTGGAGTTCCTGCTGCAGCCTGTGGCCAGCCTTGGAGCCCTCCACTCCCCGGCTTACGTGTCCTGCTTCAAGGGCCCTAAGAAGATCAACGAACCTCATTTTTAGACCTCAGGGCCTAGGATGAGCTACGGAGGACCGAGAGGCAGGGTCCTCAGCTTCCTGACCCCAGCCCAGTCAGGGGACTGGAAGTCTGGGGGACCCGGAATCTAGGACACATCATACTTCCTCAGGATCTGGCACCACCCTGAGAAGTGGTTTGTAGCAATGCACCATTAGAGAGCTGGCTTGAAGTAACGCCATGACAGGTGGCTGCCCCATCAACCCAGACCCAGACTCAGATTGTGAGCCACTGCCTGGCAGGAACAGGGCAGACCTCTGCTGTGCCAGCCTGCTCCCATCCAGGGTCTCTGCGCAGAGCAGTGGCTGGGCTGAGTGTGCCTCAGCTCCTTCCCTGGGCTGTGGAGGTTGGCAAGAGGGGTGTGGCTGCAGGATGGACAGGCTGCCACGGTGGGACAGGCACTTCCCTAGCCCCACCCCAGGCACGCTGGGACCTTTCAAGTGAGGTGTTCCAGGAGTGGACTTTGGATATACTGAGGGCTCTAGATTTGCATGGATGGTTTTTGGTTATAAAATGCAATATGCAGGGCTTCTTGGGATGTAGCTCACAGGGGCTCTCATGGGGAAATTACCTAGGGTTGGGGCAGGGTCCATGGGTTAGTCTGGGGGTTATATAGGGTTTATGAGGGGGTGTCAGTGAAGGAATTGCTGCAGTTCCTGGGTTGGGTTGAGCGACGGAGAGCGCTCACTGAGTGAGGTAGGGTCTTAGTGGAGGGTGAGCCATTGGGGACCATTCTAGGTTACAAGATATCACGAGTACCTAGGTCATTGGGACTTCAGGGTCTCTAGGCAAGCTATAGAAATTGTAAGGTCCTTTGATAGAATATTTTCGTGTCTCACACAGTGCATGGATGAGGCAGGGGTCAGGAGACCAATTATCAGGAAGTTCTCAAAGTGGGGGGTATGCTAGGAGTGGGTCTCAGGACAGACACCAGACACGTGGCTACAGGAAGCATTAGCAATCTAGAAAGATCATCCCTCCTCCCAGCTGAGGGCCTGGGCTTTCCTGAGCAAGATGTCAGTGTCCCAGCACAGCCTGGTCATCCTCAAGCAGATCCACAGAGGGTCACAGCACCACAGGCAGGAAGAGTGAGACCGGTTTAATTTACAAATAAGCGTTGGACAGCCTCCTGATCAGAAGGGAGCCTAAAGGCTCACCTTTGGAGAGAAAGGCCATCATGGAGGGTCAGGCCCCCAAGTGGGGAGCCAGCAGCGTGGGAACTGGCGCCAGAGTGCTACAAAGTTGCTCCTGTGCTCAGCAGGTACTGGCAGAGCCTGCAGAGACAGTGGGGTCAGGTCCTCACAGACACGGTCATTACATAGATACCCCCCGCTCAGCATCAGTTGACCCCATGGCTGGGCTGGCTCAGGACAGTCCCACCTTACAAATGGCATAACATTTCTTAAATCTCAGATTATATGGCCACCCTGCCCAAGTGTCTGAAAGCCTCCCAAAGAAGCCCATCTCACCTGGAGTGATGAGTGGAGTGGCTTTCTCAGGTAAGGGGCTGAGAAAGGAACACATGAGATTAATATCCTTCAACCTCTGCCCTCCTCCACCAAGACTCCTAGTGCCCCCTCCCCGGGGGGCGTAACTCCTTGCTATTCTTCCATTGTCACTTTAAACAATACCAACGGTCAGAGCTTTCCCTGATTTGGAGCCTTTCAGGGTTGATTATCTGTGAATAACAAACCTCACTGTAGGCCCAGGGAGCAGCCAGGAGGCTGTCCTCTTTCCCTCTGTTGTAGTACTTTATCCCAAAATACTTCTGCTCAGCTGGAGGTGCACACAACAGGGGCCCTGACTCACCTTTGCTTCTGATTGTGCTTGCATTTACACTTGCCACCTGTGAGAGGAAGAGCTGGCCTGTGCAAAGAGCCCAAGGAACCTGGACCATCCCTCTTCCCACCCCACGCCCTGCCAATTCCACCACTCACTCAGGGCGAAGGCAAATCCAGCGACGCACAGGATCCCAGCAAAGATCATCCCGACCAGCTGCAGGCCTGCCCAGTCTAGGGGAGCACAGAGAGGGAGCTGGCGCCAGCCTGGCTCCACCTCACTCATTCAAAAGATATTTACAAGCACCGGCTTGTGCAGATGAACTTACATTCCAGGCAATGAGAAAGACAAGCCAGTAAATAAACACATCATATAATATCTGGTGGGAACAAGCCCCAGGAAGAAAAAACAAGCAGAAGAGCACAGAGAAAGAAGAGGGTGTGAAGGATCATCAAGGAAGCCCTTTCTGAAAAGTGGCATTTGAGCTGAGGCCTGGGGAAGATGAGGGGTATGTGGGGACATTGGAGGACAGTGCCAGGAGGAGGAAGAGGAAACCTTCGTAGGGGGCTGTGGGGCAGCAGGGAGCTGGTGTTGGGGAAGGGAAATAAGAGTCAGTGGAAGGAAGGAGATTAGGTGTGAGGTATCTGGGGGCCCAACAGCCCAGCACCTCTACCCGCTTCCCCAGAAGTCTTCCTAACTATCCTGTGGGCGCCTTCTCTCCCTGCTGGAATGAAGTTCTCCCAAAGACCATGTTGCATGCTGGCCTTTCATTCTTTCCATCAACCAAGCTGACTCCTTAATCCCCAGTCCCAGCCCCATCCTGCCCCTTCTTCCCCACCCCTTCAAGCCCTACTTTGTTTACACGGGGGCTCCACATCACCCCTCACCAACCTCTAGTAAAGAGGTCCAAGATAGGCAAGGGTAGGGGTTGGGGGCGTGAGGGATATCAGCTCTTACCATAGTAGAAGGGATCGTTTTTATCTGCAGGAAAGAAAACAAAAAAGAATAAGGGCCAGAACCAAGAGGCTGGATGTGAGGTCTTGGAGGGAAAATGTGGGGCAGTAGGGGCAGGGTAGTTTGAGGCCTCACCAGCAAACAGGTCACTGGCTTTCAAGACGGGCAGGCCTGGGTGGAAAAAGCAGAGGGATTGGGTGTTAATTCATGACACTGGTCTCAAAATGAGTCAGCAGGCAAGACCCCATCCCAGAGGGGCAAGGATGACTAGCCTTGTCATGAATGAGGGGGGCACCCTGGGGTCACTGGTTCCCTTCCTCATACCATCCCCAGGCCCAAAGAACCCTGAGATTTTGTCTCCCACCCCAAGGCCTGTGGTCCCCCACTCACAGCCCTTTCTGCTATTTCTCAGGCTTCCTGCTACTCTGTCTTGCACTGGAAATGGGATGGCATATTGGTATCTTTGTACCCTCTCCTGAGAAGCTTCCTACACAGACCCTGGCTAATGCTCTGCTTCCTGAAGAAATAGGGAATGCTTTTCTCTTCATGCCAACAGATGGTTACAGTTTTCCAAAGTTCAATTACTCAGGATAATTTTTGCAACATCCGCTTCCTACCTGTACTATTATTTCCTCAATCTTTCTTTTTAAATTCACAGTTTAAATGAAAACACATTTATTCAACATTAGGACCCCTTGGGGAGATGCTGCCCTGGTCTTCACTGCCTTGGTGGGCAGGTGAATGGCAGCAGGGTCACCTCTGGGATGACTCACCTGCCAGCGTCAAAAGGCCCCAGATCACTCTCTCCATGTCACAGCTTCAGGGCAGGGCTGCAGGGGAGGAGGTGCAGGCTGGGGTCAGGCAGCCCGACCTGCCCCAGGCTCACAGAGCCTAGTGGCGAGAGCAAGCCACCAATCCCAAGGGTGCACTTGCCTATGGGGCGGTCTTGGGAAAGTTACTAATTTTTGTTTCCGCATCTAGAGATGATAATAGAAATGCCTTGTGGAGTTATACCAGTTACGTGCGTAGAACAGTGGTTGCACATAGTTAAGTGAGGCTTGGTCAGACTCACCTGACCAGGTGAGCAGGGCTGCTGTTCTAACTCAGGCTTTGGTGCCTGCGTTCCTAACCCCTACACAAAGGGCCACAGTTGTCAGCCCCCAGGCTATCACTCCCAAAGGTCTGGGCCTGGGGCACTATCAGGCCGAATTCCAAGACAGGCTCCACAAAGTGTGCACCCAGGGCTGAGCAGCGCTGAGCATCAGAAGGCAGGGAGTGAGGGCGCTGCCTGCCACAGAAGGAGAGAGCCTCCCACCCCAGCCCCAGCCGAGGACCCTGCTCCAGGCAGCCCCAAATTCCACTCTCAGAGTACAGATTGCTATTGGCAGGAAACTGCCTGGTGGGACATTGTTCCCTTCTCCTTAAGATGGGAACTATCCATGTTCCAGTTTACTGGTCCCTGGGGTGGCTGTGTGGTTGAGCTTTCTGCATATTGTTAGCTGCAGGCAGGCATGGGGACTGTCAGTGTTTCATACTGATCCCATTGTTAATATCTACTAGACCCAACTGCCCCAAACTCTAATCCCTTCTCAAGCACTTAACAGCTGTGTGACTCAGTGGGTTATTTAACCTCTCTGTGCTTCAGCATCCTATAAAATGAGGATAATTATAATAATAGCAACCTCATAAAGTTATGATTGAATTAAATGATTTACTATATGTCAAACCTAAGAATAGTGCCTAACATATATTAAGCATTAAAATGTGTTATGGGGGCCGGCCGGTGGCACAGCGGTTAAGTGCGCACATTCACTTCTAGGCGGCCTGGGGTTTGCTGGTTCAGATCCCGGGTGCAGACATGGCACCACTTGGCAAAAGCCATGCTGTAGTAGGCGTCTCATGTATAAAGTAGAGGAAGATGGGCATGGATGTTAGCTCAGGGCCAGGCTTCCTCAGCAAAAAGAGGAGGATTGGCAGTAGTTAGCTCAGGGCTAATCTTCCTCAAAAAAAAAAGTGTTACAATAAATAAATACATAAATACATGGGTCTCATTGCCATAGAAAGGAGGGACTATTAACGTGCTGCTTCTGAAGGTGGGGGTTTGTCGTCTTTGAGCAGCCTCTGAAGTTGGCCCTCCGCTGGACTGGTCTGTCTCTCTCTACTCCTCCACCACCCTGGAACTCCTGGATCATGAGGGTCACAACTCCATTTTACATATTCTTTAGCCAAAGGCTGGCTTCTGTTTCCTCCAGCCCCCAACCCACCATCCATATGACAGTGGTTACAGGGCAGGCAGCCTCCAATCCTCAAAATCCCCAAACATGCACCCTGTTACTGAGAATACCCAGGCACCCACCTCCCCTTCTTCAGACTGGCACTCTGGGCCACCCTTCCGCCCCCATCCCCCCACCTAGGAGCCCTGAAGTCCTAGCAGACACTTGCTCACCTGAGAGCCAGTTCTCCTGAGCTTACCTGAGAGCCGGGTGCAGAGTGCAGGTCAGAGGAGGCTGCTGGGGCTGTGGTCAGCTTAGGTGGGTTCCGGCTTTTTAAACCCAGCAGCCCCGCCCAGAACAATACCATCAGGCTGGAGGGAACTGGTCAGACTCCTTGAGACTCCTGCAGCTCCCTCTCTCTCCCTGGTGTGCTCTTAAGGAGACAGCTCGCCCTGCCACACCCAGTGCAGAGTAGTGCTCCTGGTGACCTCAGGCCAGCTCAGAGGCTTAGGTGGTGGCAAGGAGAGGGATGGGCCAGGCCTCAGACCCTTCTCTCGAGGAGAAGGTGGACTTTCAGCTTCTTCAGCTCACCTAGATCCTAACAGAGGGGCCCTGAAGGGTGCTCAAGGGGGACGGGGTGTTTCTGGGTTCTTGTGCCAACAGTGGGGGTTCTAGCATTTCCGTGGCCGGGGTGGGGGGATCCTGGCAACAGGTGAGTCGAAGAGGAGTCAGGGACTGGCCTTGAGGCTCCATTTGCTCATTGGTCCCAGTGCTTTTCCTCAGACTGGGTGTTCATCGAAGGGGAGGGCTGGGGTCATTGGGCATCCCTCAGGATCACCCACTTAGCCCAGGGAGACTGACAGCAGGAATCACAAAGCACCCAGGCCCAGCCCGGGTCTTCCCCCTACTTCACACAGGTAGGGGGTGTGTCAGGAGGATGAGGAGCAGGTGGCCTCCCTCTGTGGACCCCCATGCCTATCTCATGCAGTGCTGGCCAAATTCTCTTCTTGCCCCTTCCCCTCCACATACCTTAGGCCTCTGCCCTTGGCCCCGGATGACCCCATCATCTCCATTCTGCTATCCCCTCTCCCCAGTCCCTCTCTTCACTGCTTCTCCCACTGGATGGCAACCAGCTGAAGGCAGGGATGATGCCTCCCTTATTCCCAATGCTCAGCCGTGGACACTAATAAATAGATTTTGATTGAATTATTGTTGGAGGAGGTAATCAAGAGGACACGACCGCTGATTGAACTTCAAGCTGTACCCAGGCAATTGGAGGCTGGCTCCTCGCCCCCTCCCCTGTCCTTACAATGTACTTTCTGCCTACCATTCTCACAGTGGGAACTGTTCCAAGGACATAGCCTTGAGAGAGTAAGGTGTTGTTGAGAACATCTGGACTGTGTACAGAGACCAAACCTAGTTAAGGCCTCTATATAAACTTTTAAGATTCTGGCAGGCAAATGCGGAAAACTACTCGTCTTGTGGCTGCCCAAGATATGCCTCATAAATAAGTTCCTTTGCTTATTAAATCTGCCACCTACCAATCTGGAGTGCTCTGCCTCTCTCTTCAGTCTCTCCTTGCCCTCTGTGTACAAGGGTCAGTTTGCAAACTAACCATTGTTGAGTCAGTGAGGACAAGAAGCCATCAGAGTCTCCCAGACAGACCAAGGAGTCAGGCGGCAGACCAAGACCGTGAAAGGCAGGGTGGGGAGATTCAGGTGAGTAGGAAGGGGAAGGGCATTCCTAGTGCCAACATGTTGCATCTCTGCATGAAAACCTTCTCCGGTGCTCCCTGCTTTCAAGATGCAGTTTCTGCACAGAGTTTAAGACCAGGGGCTCTGGGGCCAGAAGGAGCTGGATTTCAAGTCCAGCTCTGCTACTGGCTGATCTTAAATAGCTTTTTCATCATCCTGAGCTTCAGTTCCCTGTCCTGTAAAAGGGAATAAGGACAGGATTTACCCTTGAGGTTTGGAATGGAGGTGCTACTGGGCCACAGGGCTGCTTCATGGTCAGCCCTCAATATGTATTTGTGGAATGAATGCCTCCCAGACCCAATTTGAGGAAAGTTTGTTAACCTCAAGATTCAGGAGAAACATTACTAGCACATACTTTGGAGTCAAATCCAGGCTCTATTAGTTACTTGCTATGTGCACTTGAGCAATGGGACTTACCTTCTTCCTGCCTGTTTGCTCATCCATAAATGGGAACCATGACCGAGTCTAACTTTGAATGTTTGTGGTGATGATGACATCTGATTATGCTACTCAGTTCACTTGTGTTGTAGCTGGGAATGGCCCTGATATACACACAGTGAGATCTGCAGCATTCGAGAAAGGGGGTTACCATTAGAGAGACCCCCCCCATGGGGTAACTGCATTCCGGAGAGGAGAAAGGTCTTGCTCAAGGTCACACTGTGCCTGGATAGCAGAGTGGGGACTCAGCCCAAGTTTTCAGACTCCTCACCTGAGTTCTTCTGCCCTGTCAGGCTATAGTGGGGAATAAGCAGCAAGTAAGCAGGCACTTGTAGCAAGGGGACCTTTTAGGTCCCAAGTGCCATCTTTGCTTTGGAAAGTCTCCAGGAAGTATGGAAAGGACCTCAGATCCACCTCTCTAGAAGGCGCTAGTGCTTTTGCCCCGCCTTGCAGCTTCTGCCCTCTTCAGAGATCCACCATTCCCATCCCTATCAGCCTTAGGTAATATCACCTTTAACAGGTAGAAAGAACTTCATCTGAGCCAGGTGGTATTGATATTGGTCCAAGGTAGGGGATAGGTTGAGCCTGGGGCAGAACCAGGGACAGGGAGCCCAGCTTCCTGTGTGTAACTTCTGCAAGCACAACGGTAAGTCACCACCTCATCTCCTCTTTTTGCCAAAGTTGGCTGTATGTGTATGGGCACCATGCTTGAGTACTGTGTCTGTCCTCTCTGAGAGGCCCCAAAGGCTGGCCACACACTCAGTGGCTAGCAGCAATGCCTTCTACACTGGAAGTGATGCAGTGTCAGTTCCCAGGTTAATGAATTTATCTTCTTAGGTATTAAACTGAATACTTATAAATGGTCATGGGTGTAGAAAACTTTAGGACCTTTGTATATTAAGAAGTATTTAATAAACTGTCCTTTTATTCCTTATGAGTTTTTAGGAGGAACAATTGCTCTCTCAAGGTGTGATTCCTGAGGAGCTGGACTGGCAGTGAAGGCCGTTTGCAGGAAGTCACTTTCAAGGAGGGCTGGCCACTTACCCTGCTTCTTGGACATAATTTCTCAACAGAACCCCTAAAGCCACCTATTTGGGTCTGATTTCTTACCTACCAAATGAGAGAGCTGGGTAAGAGGCACTGAGACCTACAGGGAAATCAAACCCCAGGTGATGAAAGCCTGGGAGGAGTGGGTGACAACAGAGCCAGGCTGTTGGGTGGGTGCAGATGGGAGCCTGGAGGTATCAAAAGAAGAGAGAGAGAAAACTGCAAGATCCAGCTCTGAACTCTTTCTTCCCTTTCTGGACTCAGTACTGCAAAGGGTACAAAGGACCTTGTGTGGAAGGAGGGAAGTCTGTTGCCAAGAGTGGCTGCCTGAAAACCAGCACCCACACCCAAGACTCCCTCTTCTGCTCACATCAGTCACTGCCACAGCTCCTTGCACTCTCAAACTGTGCTTTCCCCTTTCTCCAAGCATTACCTATTGCTCTGTGATGAACATAGATGCATCCTCAAAACCATTAATTTCCCTGAGGAAAGGTGATAATACAGGAGTTATCTAAGACTGACTGGAGGTAAACTAAGAGGGAGGTGGCTAGTATCTTGCCCGGCCTATAGCGGGAGCATACATGGTTTTTTCCTATCTTGTAAGATGGGCTGAATGTCACAGACATCAGTAGAAGGCTGAGATTGCCTATTTTGAGGGCTCTAGTAGAGGAAGGGAAATACTTCGTGAGAGAACCAGAGGAAGAGCAGAGAGAACATGTCTTTTGAGGCCTCTCCCAGGTTTCTAGGGTGTCTTATCCGATGAGAAACACTGAACCCCCACCTGAACCCACTTCCTGTGCTGCCCCCTCAGGAGTCCCCTGCTGTCGTCCTCTCTCTGCATATTCCTCAAGTCCCCCTACGTGTGCTCAGGGTCTTGAGGCCATAGAGCTGGGGCTCACTCCCCTTGAGGACCGGGGAAGGACGGCAGCCTGACCCTGCTCGCCTGCCTGTCTGTGAGAGCAGGAGGTGAGCTTGTGCACGACAGGGGCAAGGACGACCATCTGAAGGTTGGTAGCAGTCTGAGGACGAAGGGCTCACTTTCCCGGAACTCGGCCTCGGCTGACTTCCGCGCGTTGCGCGTTGGGGAGATGCAGGGAGAAGCCTTTCGCGCTGCGGGATCTAAGATCCTTCTGGACCAGGGGATACGGAAACGAGGTGGGGGACTCAAGAAGGGGAAGTGAGACTCTGGAGCAGCCACTCCCCTCGGGAGTCTGGAGTGAAGGCCTGCTCCCTTTTGCCAATTCCATCCGCCTCTAGGAAGCCCCTTACAAGAGGCCATTCATGACCTTACCTAACCTCCACACCTGATGCAAGGGGCCAAGAAACAGCCAATCGGAGCAGGACTGTGGTGGCTTCCAGCCAATCAGTGCCAAGAGACCGCCGTAGAGGCGGGACCGTGGGTGAACCGCCGTCGAAGCGAGGCCTAGGCAGTGTGGGCAGGGCTTTCCCGTCGCGAAGCAGTCCCGCCCCTCTTCGCGCGGATTGGCTGTGCCGGTTCACCCGAGTGCCGGTCAAGCAGCCGCTCCTCGCGCTCCTCTGCGGCTTCCTGTAACAATCGGGTCTCCGGTTAACTTGTTGCCGGAGTCTTTGTCCATCCGTTCGTCCGATCGGGCCGCCGTGATGATCAGGGTCTTCTGGAGGTCGTGGTCCTCAGTAACTGGGACCTGAGAGGCTGTGAGGGATAGCTGAGGTGAAGGGACAGCACAGCGGTGAGCTCAGAGCAGGCCAAAGCGGAGGGGGCGAGCGAGCCGGCGGAGGGGCGGCCCCAGAACGGGCAGGTGGAGGCGGGCCGCGTAGGGTGAGGCCAGAAAGCCGGCAGGGGACCTTGGACCCTGGGAGGGCTTCCAGCAGGGGAGAGACATTGTTAGAGGTGCATCTGAGAACGTCCTTCGAAGGGTCAGACCCTGTGCAAGAGGAGAGAAGCCAAAAGGGTTTACAGAACTGAGATGCCGGGTGACGTCCCTTCTCACCCACCCTTCTTCATTCCGCTCTATTACAGCCCAGTAATGCTTTCCGCCCACCCCACAGCTCCCTTAGCACCCTTGACCCGCTACTGCTCACCTCCCTCATCATCCAGACTTTTCAGCCCTCAACTCGACCCTATCCTTGAAGTCTCTCTTGGGCACATCTCCCTTAATTTCCTACAGGCACTTCACAGTAAACAACTTCTAAGATAAACCTTCCCGTTGTCTCACCCCATCCCCTCACCTGTCTCTGTTGCAGAGTTCCCCATCTT